TTAAATCAGAATAGTTTTTGACAATAACATCTGGATATGTGAATTACAGAACACCAGGCTGCCTGTAAAACATGTCCTTATGCCACTAATCCAAGTACAGTGATAACTGTGAAAAATTCCCCTTACAAATATAATATTGATAGACTTTCTGAATTTATAAAGTCACACTGAAACACAATCTCTGTAATAAGAAGAGATCTATACGTTTCAGTATAACAGACAGGAAGAGATTAAAAAAGAAAATCTCGGAATTCTTCCCAGAACGATGAGAGAAGTTACTTCTGACCAGAAAATATTTGCATTCAATTTGGAAGCCAATTTCTGCAGGATTGGTTGGGTGCGGGCCTCAAATTACTGTGGCGAGGAAGAAAGAAGACTGATTCTGTGGAAAAGAGATGATATAGGAATATATTTAACAATTTTGGTTCAAATTATCTGAATTTTAAACCTTAAATGCAATTATGCAAGGTGAACTTGCAGCCCATCTGAAAAGCATCAAAAACCTTGGACTCCTGTGAAGAATGCTTGGTTTCCCAAAAAAATTAAATATATCAATCTGACTTCTGCCCTTAATTTGCTTCAAAAAAGCCTATACATTAGACAACATGTCATAAAATCCAATCCACATTCATCCAAAAACAGCTTCCTTGACATTACAACTCTCGCAGCTTTCTGATAACGACTGATATTAATGGCAATCTCTTGGTGAGAGCGTGGGAGCATTCAATCTTTATGTACATTTCCCAAAAATGTTCTTCACATGCAAGCAATGCATAAGAGTGCTCTCTGTTCATTATAAATTTACATGATACCTCATTTACATGATACATCACTGTAACTTCATTAGGATGAATACATGTAAAATGGGAATACATTATTTATCATTACTAAAAATGCTACAAAAAATTGCTTACAATTATTGCAGAGTAATTGTAGATGTTGAAAGTGAAAGTGCTGTTGAAAAATAACTTTTAATTTAACAGTCAAATAATGTGCAAAAACATACTATAGGATACAGATAAAACAGACTGTTGGTCCTGGGACAGTACCCTTAAAAGATGCTTATTTAGAGCAGTATCTTAGAGCAGTAATATGTACACTTAAAGGGACAGTTCACCCAAAAATGAGTTTCTTTCTTCTGTTGAGCACAAAATAAAAAGAATGTTGACGCTGGTTACCAAACAGTTGACAGTAGCCACTGACTTCCATAGTATGGGGGAAAAAATACTATGGAAGTCAATGGCTACCGTCAACTGATTGATTATCAATATTCTTCAAAATATCTTCTTTTGTACTCAACAGAACAAAAAAACTTTGTCATACTTTAATTTGGGGACCAAATCTCACTAATAACTAACTATTAACAATACACTTTGCCTCAAACTCCAAATTTGCTACTTATTAATAGTTAGTAAAGTAGTTGTTGTTACGTAGTTGTTACGTTTAGGTATGGGGTTGGATTAAGGGATCTAAAATATGGTCATGCAGAATAAGGCATTAACATGTGCTTTATAAGTACTAATAAACAGCCAATATACTAGTAATATGCATGCTAATAAGCAACTAATTAATAATGAGAAACTAAAGTGTTACCAAAAACTCCTAAAGGCTTGAAACAAACGGAGGATGGGTAAATGATGACTTTAATGAAATTAAATGATAATTTTTGTGTATCCGTTTAAGTTACTACTATGAATCTTTTAGGGGTTAAAAAAATACAAAGATTTCCTTTTGAGGGTATTTTCTGAGAGTGTAAGATGATTCATGTAATCTGATTTTTCCATCTATTTCTAATCTTCAAATGTTTTTATTTCAAATAATTAATTGAAGTTCAGGACATATTTAGGGATGATATGTATATGTGCATAAGTTTGGCAAAGGATAATCTGTTTTGCAAAAAAAATTTTTATATATATTAAATTGTACATAACTAACACAAAGATTTCCAATAACCAAGTAAATGTCTTATTTCTGTAGCGTTCAACGGAACAACAGGGACATAATATAGACATAATATGGAGAACTATAATACTAAAAGCATAAGCTGAAAATACGAAACTTAATCATGGAATAGCCTATCATAAAGCTCAAAAAGACCGTTTTGATCATTGTGGAATGATTTAAACAACGTGCATTATATTATTATTATTATTATTATTTATTATAGACAACACTTAGTCCTTGCTAATTTTCTTTTTAAACAAGTATTCTGACATTGCTTTATGGCGCTTAAAGTGCTTTATCCTACTCCTTGTGTACAGTTTAAATTTCAGTTAAAATCAGACACACCTGAACCAGCGCATCACGACCTTTACTTGAACAGTCCGCCAGGTGTGTTGGAGTGGGAAACTATAATGTGCAGATCACCAGAATTGAATTTTCTTGCGGTTCTACGTTAAAATTCCACGTGAACGCAAAGCATTGTGGATCATATAAGCCTGCATTGTGCATGCAGCCTAATGAGAGTTCATAGCTCTCTACTTTAGCGGTTAAAGAGGCAGGTGATGCTATATGAATCCCCACATAGGAAATATGAACGTGTCACTTTGTACTATGTATAAAAAAACATCCATACACATGTGAAACTTTAAACTTTGGAACTATAAACCATTTTCAAGAACAGGCACGATCGAAGTAAATTATGCATTTTGGACGAAGAATGTATATTGTATCCAGCGCTAACAGTCAACGGTTTGTTCGGGTGCACCTGTGTACAACACAGATAATATAGGATAATATAGTGTGCCTGGCATTGCTGCGCAAAGCGAATAGATTTAAACCTTTGAAGAAAGAAGATGAGGACGAAGAGGAGGGAACACAAAAGGACCAGACTGCAGAGCAAAGGCACCCATGTAACATAACCTCATTCAAATATCTTTAGATTTTGTTTTGCATTTAAAAAGAAGAAGAAAACATTTTAATTAATTAATTTAATTACTTTTTGCACTTCATTGTACAGTCAAGTAGATCAAGACAAGAAATTCGCTGAATATTTCAATATTTCGAGTAATGTCCATTTATTATGTTTAAAATAAACTTATTAATGCAGAAATCCAAATATTAGATGGACTTTCATAACTACATGTATTTTCTACTAGGAAGGTCAGTAGAAAGAGCACTAAAATACAGTTATACAATCGAAATTTACTTGTAAACTAAAAATATTTTCAAAACAATACCAAAAGCACAAAACAAAACAAAAAAATGTAGGTCTGTTTTTTATGTATCATGAACAAAAGTACAAATAGGGGAACAAATAAACAGTTTGAAACAAGCAGTGTCTGCTAAGATTATGTAGATTACTGCAGTTTGAAGGACCCAAATGGACACGCCCACAAGCAGTGCATTTCTTGGTCATTGTGTACTGATCAGTAATAGGGATTTCTTTCTCAACAATTATCAGTACAGATGGTATGAGGTTTAGTCAGCCAAACAGAGTATTCCAAAATTTTTAAAGTGGTACAGACATTCAGGTTTGTCTGTTTATGGAAGCGCAATTTCTGTCACCTCTGCAATATCTGCGCCAGTCTCCATACAGACTACAGTCCTAGGGGAGCCTTTCCCTTAACTGACAAAGTGATCAAAGCACTGGTGCATAACAATACCACTGTCAGTGAGTTTAATATCAGGCTAATCTGAAGCGTCACGGATGGAAGCATATGTTTGAGATACTGACTGAAAACGGGATATGCCACAGTCTGCGTCACTGGGAAAGAGAGAACAACTCTATTTGGTTGTTAAATACATGTAAAATAGAAATGATAAAGCCTTGAGTAATGTTAATCACAAATCTTATTCTACTCATAATCCAAAACTACTGTTCTAAAAGAGGAACAGAAACACATAACAAAACACAGTAGCCTCTTTATTAATATACTTTGATGTGTAACTCACAAGAAATATGAAACCTTAATAATAAGTAATTAAATAAAGGTTTAAAAAACAAGATCGGAGTGACATAATTTAATGTTATTTTAAGGTTGGTCTCCAATCAAACTACAGTGGTAAATACAGAGGCTCTTAATCCACATCACAATCCACTGATGCACGTATCATTAGCGTTTCTGATTAGCAAAGGCTATTAGCAAAGCCATTATAACATATAAATAAAGTATATTGACAATATTCAGCAGGCTTGTGTTCACTTGCACTACTTCGTGTTGTTGAGATAAACGTATATACTGATAGATATGACGAAAGTTTCGATCTAGTTCAGCACATTTGCAGCTCCTACAACAATGCACTTAAAGAGATTGTTCACCCAAAAATGACAATTCTGTCATCATTTATCGATCCTCATGTCGTTCTAAAACCTGTATGAATTTCTTTCCTCTGCAGAAGATTGCCAATATGGTCCAAAACAACATTGGACTCCACTGACATTTAACAATACACCTTTTCCCCACAGAAGAAGGAAATGCATTCTAGTATGGAATTACATGAGGATGAGTATAGGCTAAATTATGACAGATGTTATTGGTGGGGTGGGGCTTTTAGTAACATGCTGGGGGAAAGGCGTTAAAATGGCGTTATGACTAGCCTACTTCATAAAATATTGTCCGGCGTTTATTACATTAACCAATGACAGCATATTCTGTCTGGCAACGTTGTTTATTTATAATATTAGTCATACAATTTGTTAATGCTCGAATTTTCTGACAATTTTCCAATTATTTGTCTTTTTTTTAAATAAATCTTTATCTTACGTATGAAACGATTTAATCTCTATTATAAACTGTAGACCTCTGCAGTTTAGGGACATTACGATTCTAATGATTGACTTCCAAAATTACAAACATCAAACGACAAGGAACAATCAGGGTTGGCCTATCTCGACGGGGAAGCCACTGTGACAGTATGCAAAGGGAGGTCTGTCTTAATTCTCCATAACAAAAAAGTACAAAGGCCAGTCGGAGACCAAAGACAATTTAACACCTCCCTCTGTCCGCGCGCCCCGGCGGCGCCGCAGCGGATAGAACGCGTCTCTCATTAGTAACAAGATGGGACGACCTGGAAGATGCAGAGGTGAGGGAGCGGGGGGGGGGCGTGACTACAAAAACAACTCATCTTTCCCTTCATAAACGAACTTGGCTCGGAAGACAAGCAGTGACGAGAAAAATTCCTTTTTTGGGGAGGGCCTGGTCTGGGACTGTTTTGAGGACTATGAGAAGCTTGTGAAAATCCATTCGGGGAATATTTGGAGTGCGTACGTGGATATCAGCAATAAAATGCGTAAGTAGCCTACAACATTTATATTTTAACAGCAGGCATTGGGGAGGACTTAAGTTCTTCATATCGTGGCACATTTAAGTCAAAAATATAGGCCTACTGTACAAAATCTACATATGAGTGTAGCAAGTTCAATTAGGAAATTGGGAGTTTATTGAAACCCCCGTCTTTCTGAATGTAAATGTGATATTCGCAAAGTAAACGAATGCCTAATGTGAAGTAAACTTTTCAGTAGCAGAGGGCAGGGAGTCGCCAGTGTCTACTGTTGCTCATGCTGACAGTGATCAAGGAGAAGAAGAGTGCCCTCGTATTTCACTGCTGAGTGGGATAGACCAGAGTCGGCGGCACCGGACTGCTTTCACGAGGGAGCAGCTGACCCGTCTTGAACAAGAATACTGCAAAGAAAGTTACGTGTCTCGACCCAGACGTTGCGAACTGGCGGCAGCGCTCAACTTGCCCGAGACTACAATAAAGGTAATTCACGAAGTAGACCTTTTCATGCCACACTCAACCTCTGGCCAAACAAAAGCTTCTCAGGACCAACAGGCAGCATTTAAAGTGCATTAAAAAGTTCTAATTTAAAAAAAATAATTTGAGACTAACTTCTGCTATTCATCAATATATATTTTTTTTATTTTAAGTTCATTTAAGAGAGGATTGTTTGTGTGTGAGGCTGGGTAACAGCCAACCCAAGAACCCATAAGATCAGACACCTGATCTCCATCCCTGCTGAAACTGAAAATTTTATTGTACATCTACCATTACCTAATCCTACTGTGTCCTTTACTAAGACCATTTATCCCTCTGTTTCATTATAGGTCTGGTTCCAGAACAGGAGGATGAAGGACAAGAGGCAGCGTCACAGTCTGAACTGGCCTAATCCACTGGACCCAAGCCTGTGTGCCTTCATGGTGAGTCAGGCGGCTGCTGGACTCCCCTACCCACTGCTACCCCGCTTGCCCCTTCAGCTATACTCTCATCTGGGCATGGGTGGCCTCTCAGGCTATTCAACCCCCTACAGTGCCACCACAAGGCCAGTGGACACTTTGCACTTTCCTCCTTCGAGCTACCCCTGGCTCACTGGACTTCCACAGCCAGCTCTCTATTCCCCCGTCCAGACAATGCTCCATCCCACAGGATGCCACTGTCCTCATTGCCTGCACTGGAGACCAGACCATCTGCATAAACCTAGAGGGGGAGCTAGGACAGCCACGCAGCCCAAAACCTATGGCAGTGCTTCAGGATAAAAGAACAGTGGTGTCTTTGGCATGTTAAAATGATAGTTTACCCAAAAAAGTTAATTTATCATTTACAAACCCTCATTTACAACGTGTCACTCTAAACCTGTATGCCTTTTTTTCTTCTGTGGGACACAAAAAAAAAAATTTCTCCATACTTTGACATTTTAAGGCTGTTGTATCTTGATATCGTCACACATGAAGAACTGTTTTGTTGTATATCGTCGTGTAATATAGATAACAGTCTTGCTTACATTCTTAAATTACTTGATCTTTTGAAGTTTGTTCATAAACATTTTTCAACTATTCGCATTTTTGCACCTGAACACTGTGGTAGATGAACTTGTGTACATATATGCTTTCCAAAAAATATATATGACAAATTTGATTATTAAAATAATTTCTCCATACTTTGACATTTTAAGGCTGTTGTATTCATGCATCTGTACAGTTATTCAGAATCTTGATATCGTCACACATGAAGAACTGTTTTGTTGTATATCGTCCTGTAATATAGATAACAGTCTTGCTTACATTCTTAAATTACTTGATCTTTTGAAGTTTGTTCATAAACATTTTTCAACTATTCGCATTTTTGCACCTGAACACTGTGGTAGATGAACTTGTGTACATATATGCTTTCCAAAAAATATATATGACAAATTTGATTATTAAAATATTTATGGAAACATTTTACTTCATGTATTTCTGCCTTTTCTTTGCCAGATAAATAATAATAGTAATAAGGTTATAGAAGGACAGAAAACAATTAATGCTCTACTCATTAACATCCTCAAGCCTTTACAGCCGACGCAACTCTAGTAATTCGCACCAACACTTTTGTCATTGTTTAACACCAACCTGTTGACTAAACAGCACTGTAATCTTAAAGACTACTTATCAACTTACAGACACAAAGCTCCTGTCATTATACTCAATCCTAGACGCAACCTGCTGAATTATGATCTTGAAAATCTAAAATCAAACAGCCTGTAACCAGACAAAACATCAGCAGGTGAGGAGCGTCTGAGACTACAGAGCCTCACAGACCTTGCTCTAATAAATAATGTCTGCAAGTGTGCATGTGAAAAGCTTGAATTAATGCAGAAAATATGACAGTGGCAGCAAAATAGACTTAAGCCACACTTAAAAATGTATGAATGTATGAATACATAAATATACAGTTCAAATGTTTGAAAGAAAATCCTTTTGCTCAGAATTGAGCAAAATGGCAGTAAAGACATTTATAATGTTACAAAAGATTTCTATTTCAAATAAATACTCTTCTTATGAACATTCTATTCATCAAAATCACAGTTTTCACAAAACGTTTTCAACATTTATAATATTAAGAAATGTTTCCTGAGCAGCAAATCAGCATATTAGGATGATTTCTGAAGGATTGTGTGACACTGAAGACTAGAGTAATGACCAGTCTTTGCCATCCTAGGAATAAATAGCACTTATCATATATATATATATATATATATATATATATATATATATATATATATATATATATAAAAAAGATATTTTTTA